GAAGATTTAGGGAAGTACAGAAAGGGAAAAAAGATTGATATATGACACATACACTGCCTGCCCACAGGTCATTCCTCTTTCCAGTCAATTTGTGGTAAACAAAGATTGTGTCTCCTTGCCTGAAGCTCAGGAAACGACAGTCCTTACCATGGTGGTCCCTTATAGCCTGCACTCTGCTTAGGAGGCCTACAGACATAGCAATAGAACACAGGTGTGAGGTGACCATCATTATCGTCATTAATTTAAGGAGTTATTAGGAGATTTTGGACTTACTTTGACACTCAGAGTCTCCGCAGATCTTGTAGTCAGACAATAATCCGATATTTAAGTGGGGTAAAATCACTAAAACTGCACCCAGTGACCACAGGAACCTAGAGGCCTGAAAAATAGCCATGATTATCTGCCTTTTAACTGGAGGCTATTAGTAGTAAATGTCCATAGTGGGGTGGAAATAACTCCCGTTGTGCTGGCAAGTGAACATTGCCTCTGAGCTGCTGCCTTTTGAAGACTCAATACTAAATGAAACAGCTGAGATAAGATATAAGGCCAGCATGGGGATAATCATTAACATCTCAGGCCTGCTTGCAATACCGAATATTATCAGCTCGCTGGTCAAAGGTTTCTATTTCATTAGAAGACTTGATATTAATGGAAAATTGCTTTAATTGACATTTAATTGAGATTTTAATGCGTACACACATAAACGGGGTTCCGGGAAAACGCCATGGCAATTTAAAACAGACCCATTCCATTATTTTCGACCTTTCTCCAGGACTGACAGCTCTGGTCTGTTGCTGTGGCAACAAGGCAAACGCGCGCACAAAGACGACGTCATCACTATGCGTTTGTTTTGCGAGAGAGATGGCGGTCTAGTCTGGTTGTGTTTACTCTTGGTAAAAGTTTAGTGTTTTGGTCCGTTGCGAGTCCGTATTTTTAATTGAGCTTGACTGCTTCATTTAGCTAAAAGCTAGCCGAGCTTACACATTCAGTCACAATGAAGTCAGACGCGGAGGAGTTAATGCCGAGACTGCTGCCCGTGGAGTGTGGATCCGGTACCGTGGGCAACCTGGACCTGAGCGGACCGCCGAGAAACCCCCAGGAGTACCTCCGACAGGTCCAGTAAGTGCATCGCAACCTGAAGAACACAGCTCTTATTAATGCTCGCGTGTAATTAACTCCTAGATTCTCTTTGCCTGTTGTCTCTTTGATGTGTTAATGTATTAGTTGAGGTGGTCGGGCTGCTTCAATGAACTTTTTTCCTTTTGGACAGGCTGGAGGCTTCATTGTGCCCAGAGGTGGTGGTCGCTCAGATTGACCCCAAAAAACTAAGGAAGAAGCAAACAGTGAATGCATCTGTGAGTAAACTGAGAAGCAAATGTATTGAGACCGGTTGATGCTGCAGATGTATGACAAATGAAAGGAAATTACAAAGCCCTGACCCTGATAGTGAGAGGGTTCATTAGCTTTGTTACTCTGTGGTGTCTGCAAATCAAAGTATTTCAAGTATTTTTACCTTGATGTGAGCAGTCAGTCCCACTCATCATGGGCGTGAATGTCCTCATAATGTTGGGCTTTTAAATGATTTCTTTGAATTTTTCATTTTTT